GGGATTTTTCCTGCCGATGTAACTGAAAGTATACAGCAAAAAATAGCAGAATATAATCTTCCACGACTAGATGGCAACAAATATGGAGCAGCTGATAAAGGTATCTCTGTGTTTTACGATAACAAGGAAATTAAACTAAACCATTCTTTAGGCCTGTATGAGGCATATGCAGCTTGGAGATATAGCAAGTTTGCCCATACCAATATTAATTTTTTAGACCATACAATTGCAACTATTTGTTTGAGAGGTATACGACTTCCTGGCGATTCAGAATTTATATGCCAAGAAGGAGATTTCAATGGAAGCAATTTTTATATGGCCAAATGGAGAATAAAAGTTGAAATGACACCCTTGAGTATTTTTCTTGAGTGTTTCTTCTTGATTTTGTGTATTACCAAAAAAGAAAATTTTATGAATTTTGTAATTCGCAGGAAAAAGTTTTTTTTTTGGAATGCTATTATTCTTTTTTTGCAATTTTCATAATTATTCAATAATTTATTACACTTTGTAATTATATCAATTAAATATGAATCTGCTAAAATTTTACGTACCTTTATGATCTTATTCTTTGCAGGATTATATGTTGTTCTATCAATTTTTTGTCAAATTAATCAAGTTTTTAGTACATTCAATAAGATTTTGTTATCTAATTTGTTTGGTGGTGTAAGCATTTTTTGAAAGATATACAGTATATAATACACTTATATTATATGTTAATATTTTAATTTATTAAATTCATTAACTTTTAACATGAAGTTTAATTTAGTCATCAAATTAGCAACTTTTTTGTTAATATTTCGATTTTTTACTTTTTTGATTGTAAATTCATTATTGAGCTCTGTGCTTTTAATTATTAATTGATATCAAATAGGCTAATTTTAATTATCATAGCTAATTTTAATCGTAAATTATTAAAGTTTTGGGCATAGTCTTTTTAATTGTCAATATAATTTATGCGATACTAGTTTTTCTAAAAAAAATTTTTTTTTTAGAAAAATTTTCTATTCATAATTTTCAAGTCACAAATTAATCAATTCATTATTATTTGATTTTAATTATCTATTTATCAATTGCTAGTTGCGTTACTGATTGTAGTTATCATATGACAGGTTTTTCTGCTCATGTGTTATTTGTCAATTTATAAAATTAAAAAAAGCACCCACTTGCATAATTTAAAGGAATAGTTGGTTTTTTAAGTGTAATTTTTCAGTCTCGTAATCCAACCTATTTCTTTGTAAGTCTCCTACCAAAGAGGTCAATACGCCTAATTTCGAGTCATTGAGTAAACCGGGGTTTTTTGTATCCTTTTTTGTGGGCAGCAAAATTAATACTAACAAATAATATTCTGTAAAACCGGGAATTGTTTATTAAGTAGGGCTTATTTAATTATACCATTTTCGTGGGAACAATAGGGATGGGAACGCGATATTGTGGCGCGTCGCGTAATAATAGTAACATTAATGATAGAATAATGTAATAATTGGTAATAGCATATGATAAAATGGACGCGTCGACAAAGCATATAAATAGAATAGTTTTAGGTAGTTTGGGGGAGTTAGATAGAATTCGAATCCGAATTTAGCTTGGAACTTTGAGTTTAGAGTTTTAGAACGCTTTTTACTTTTTGTCGCTTTATTCAATAAATGCTACAACTTTGCACAATCATATTACACATTCCTTGAAGTATAAACTAAGTCTACGTCACTACAGTAAAGTAACCTTTAAAAAAGGGAGACGCGACGTTACAGTTGTGCACCGTAAGAGAGAGACACTTGTAATCTTGAGACGCGCCTAGGAAAAGACGGTCAAGAAGGGATTAGCAAGTGCGCGAAAGTCGGTCAAACCGTAATCCGCCTCGGAGTTAAAGCATTACCTTATTTAGTGCCGAAATCCAAGCGTTCGGATTATCATAACGTGAAGAGTGTGCCGTTTTAGCGACAGACTCGCCGGTGACGACAACACCATATAAATTTCATGCATTCGTACTCGTGTAATTTGTTAGCAATATGTTTTATTATTATATTATTAGGTAACGATATGAGTAATTATTAAATTTATTTAGAATTCAGATATTATAGATCTTTATTGTATTTTATATACCGTAGCAGATTTCAATCGTATAATAAATATGTATGTAAATTTAATAGAAGAGTATTAGTGATCTTTGTTAAATTTCGGTATTGTAGGTTTACGGTCAGGTACAGTATATGTAGATAATATTATACAAATTTGCTTTATGTACAAGTTTAAGCTTATTAGTATGGGGCTTCACTAGTAATAATAGCTAAAATATAAAATATTTGCGTGGTGTTCTCTTCCTTAAACATATTGTTATGATTTTAATATTTCCATTTTATGTGAAAATAACAAACAACAGCAGGGATATTTAATTCACATACTAAAAGTATATATTTTTTAAACTTTGGATTGTTTTACAGAATTTTTATAAATATAGAAAAGAATTTCTTAAAAAATAAACTTCACACAATACTAGAGAAAAACATGAGTCAACAATTATTTCGACAAGGAAAGGTTCCATCTATTGATGTTCGCATTTCGGAAGATTTAAGAGAATCAAATAAATTATTTGTTGGCGATCAAGAACAAATAATTAATCTTAGTTGTAAGGCCGATGAAATCCGAACATTGGTCAGAGATATTATTAACAAATTAAAACCACTTTGGATCTTCGCGAATTGTGAACACCATCCAAAACGAGTAGAGCTAAAAACATCCCACGTCCACAAAATGCTTTTATGCTTTTTCGAAAGGACGTGTCAAAAGAGTTTTATAAAGCCAATCAATCTTTATCAGTCGGTGATTCTTCCATTATTGCGTCGAATCGATGGAATGAAATTTCCAGTAACGAAAAATAATTTTGGATAGATTTAGCAGATGTTTGCAAGAGATTACATTCTTGCAATTATCCAAATTATAAATATTGTCCAGAAAGGAGAATTGGTACTGATGATAATGAAAGAAAGAAAAAAAGAAAGTCCTGTAGAGAGAAGGCTGCTCCTTATGTCCTTAGAAATTCAAAATTTGCAAATATTACGAAACAAACTTTTGTCGACCCTCCAATAATTCCAAGTCAGCATTTGAGCATTTTATCTGAAGCAGTTATCCCTTCATCTTCAATCACTAAGTCTACGCATAGACCTACTGTTCGATCATCAGCAGTGAGTGTTCGAAACAGACGAGAGATTATTAATCGAACCACTCCATACTCAAACTCATCACATAAAGCTGATAAGCAGAGACATTCAAATAAAACTTTGGATGCCTTTTCTGAGATAATTTCTCCAACTATCAATGGCAGCACTTGCAAAAATTCTGTAACCACTTCAGCAGCTTACGCGAGCAAATATTGGGATTAACAATTCACGGGATTTTATGCATATCCCACTTATGATGAAATGGCGTCATTGACCCAAGCTTGCTTTCTTCGGGTCCATCAGGAGCAAATTGTGTTATACATGGAATCGGCTGATCCGGCAAATATTACCAACCAAAATCCGCCCTATATAAATCCGTTATCACTTTTAGGTTTTGAATCATTATATTACCCCAATTCTTTAGAATTCAATGTCATTGACCCGACATTACTTTATTTAAATCCACCTTCGTTTACAAATTTTTCCTACGGACGTAGTTCTGATATTCACCAAGAGACTTCTCGATAGATTTGTAATAATTTAATTTGAATTATTCACGACAAATGTCAGATGGTTACGGGACAAAATAACTGATTAAATTAACATAATCTAGTACTAACCTATATGGGTCTCTGCGTCTTATTTTTATAAATTACGTGAATTGTGCCTCATGATTTTAGGTCAGTAAATTAATTTTTTGAATACATTATGAATTAATTTTAAAATAAATATTATTAATACGACTTTCAAAATAGTATCCTGAAGAGACATGCTCCTTGGATAAGTTGGGGTTATAATATCACGGTTAGACATTTCATCCTTCGATAATGAGAATTGGTGCTATTGGATAAGTTCTCGCGAGCTCTTACCCACTGGAGGCGATTAAAAATAATCGGGTACTGTTTTACTAAATTTCTACTTTTTATTCTACCTTTGATTGCTCTCTGTAGCTCAGATCGTTGATGAGGATTATCTGAAGCATTCTTCTTTGAGCTTTTCACGTTCCCTTTGGGTTTTGGTTCTGGATTCAGTTCTTTTATTTGGTCTATTTTGTTCCTGTAACTTTATTCTGGTTATTATTTAGGAATATCGTGTCTATTTTATTATTAGTGATATTTACTTTGGGTCAAATATGGATGTCGGGTCAGACTTACCTAGGTGATCAAAGTCTAGTAAGACTTTGTACTTCTATAAATTGATTTTTTTTCCGGTCTAGTCAAACTTATAATCTTTGGTCTGGACAGAGTTGTGATCTTCGGTCTGGACAGGCTTTAGTCTTGTGAATTTCCTGCAAAATAAAGTTATTTGTAATAAATCATAAACAAATTTGCAGTAATGCATTGAGAAATTTCATTAACATATATAAATTTTACAAGACAAATTGAAAATGTATGTCGTATTCTATCGAATTTGGAATTAATGATAATATGCATTAACATAAAAAAATCGGTACTTTGCTTTATACTCAGGTCAGACTTGATTGAATTATTACATTTAACCCGATGTCCGGCGACCATTCTCATAAAAGCATTTGACAGCAACTTCTTCTGACGATTATAATTGATTTTAAAAGAATTATATTGCACGGATTTTTGGATTACATATTAAACATAGATATACTATACTAGGTAGTATAAAATATAAAAATTTAAAGTAACGATAAATGTAAAATAAATTGTAATAAAAAATTATTCTCATTCTAATCTTTTAAAATATTGTAAACTAATCTTATTGGATATAAACCTGCTTCATCGGCAAAACCGCTAATAAGTCCTTCACGAATGCGTTCGCTTGCAACTCTTTTATTTCCTTTTAAAAAATAGACACCCGAAGAATATATTGTGTAAGTCGCGCCGATTACCGGTATAAAACGAACATATCTTTGTACTTTATGCTCGATTACATCGGATGCGCTAAGAATTTGCAATTTTATACCTTCATTATTTAAGGTTGAAAAATGGCCCAGTAATTCTTTAAGACTTTGATCCCTTTTCTTTTTATTATATTGTTGAATATACTCATCATCATCTTTGTCAGAAGGAAAATCAACGCCAATTACTGGATAATTTCCAAAATTTTCTCTTATTACTTCCATGTTTTCCTCAATCCAATTTCTTTTGCAATGAGTAATTATAATTATAAAATTTTTTTCCTCGTGCTTAAATAATTCTTTAAATTCTTTAAAATATTCACTGTCGGATTTAGTAAATCTACCCTGGATTTTGACGTAGCAGATATAGTGGAGTGGAAAACGAAGGTATGAAAGTCGATCTCTTATAAATTCAACCGCCTTTTTATTTTCAACAGTACCACCTTCTGGTTCCCCCAACCCAACTGTATCAAATATTCCAAATTTTTCATTAAATTTTAATGTGATATCCGGAGTACATCCTTTTCCTCCATCATTAATTTTGAATTCATTATCATCTTCATAAATTTCTCCTTTATACAACATATTTGCAATTGTGGACTTTCCACATCCGGTGGCTCCAAATAAAATTACATTTGTTGTCTGCTCCATTATCAAACTGTTTTAAATTTATTATTTAAATGATACGGTTGGTTTGACCGCTTTATATATTGATGTTTTGCTATAATTAATTCATAATCTAATTGGTAGCAGAGATTTTTTTCCCAAAATAAAAGACATGAGGATGTTCTCCTTACCTCATGTATGCAACACCCCTACGGTATTCTTGCGACACCCACGCGTCAACTGTGCAGCACTCGTGCAGACGAATTTGTAGTGAAATTTCCGTACTTATTATGTTTTTGGTGATCGGATGTTATTCCGGTTTATGTTTCGGAAATCGAAAGTTCGATCAGCAATAAAGTCACATGTTTGCATTTATGTAGGCGCTCTCATGATCCGGAAATTTCACACAAATTCCCCTGCGTGGTATGCTGCACAGGTGACGCACAAATGCCGTAGAAGTGTTGCATACATGAGGTAAGGAGGACACCCCTCATGTCATTTATTTCGGGAAAAAAACCTCTGCTCTAATTGATTTCAATACTGTTAAAGACAATTTTAGACTAGATACTAAAAATAGATGTGTGATGCAGATCTCTATTTCTGAATTATAAATAAACAGAAATTTTTTGCCAAAAATAAGTGACAAGATGAGATGAGCAGCAGAGATTTTTTTCCAGAAATAAATGACATGGGGATGTTCTCTTTACCTCATGTATACAATATCCCTATGGCATTCTTGCGTCACCCATGCGTCAAATGTGCAGCACTCGTGCAGACAAATTCGTAGTGAAATTTCCAGTGATCGATTTTTATTTTGGCAGAAATCGAAAATCAAAAGTTACAATTTAACATTTAATAAAGAAACCGGAACTTAATATTAAGAAATAAAATTAGGCTTCCAATTTAGCATTTAATAAAAAAGAAATTTATATTTAGTATCCAATAAAATAAAAATAAAATTTTATAAAGAAAAAAAAAATAAAATTTTATAAATAAATAAAAATAAAATAAAAAATAAAATAAATAAATAAATAATAAATAAATATAAATAAACATAAAGAAATAAAGAAATATAAAGAAATAAGACTCTTTCTCAAACAAATCAGCGCCTGAATAAAATTACCAAAAAATAAAACTAAAATTTTTTCTTCAAAAAAAACTGTAAAAGATATTGGAGTGTCTTTCTCATCCTCCAAGAATCAACTTATCGAACCAACTCACACTTTACTTGATGTCCTTATCACTGATATTGACAAATGCCTGGCCAAAATCTTTCACAAAAACAATAATATCAACATTGTATACACTACCAATTCCATTGCTAACATTCGTCTTCCAAAATTTAAAAACTTTCCTAAAGCATGGCTAACACCAGTACATCTTCAAGAAA